TTAGCGCGTTATGAGCGTAGATAGGAAGGACGGTGAGAGGAGGCGGGCATCCTCCAGAATGTTTGTTGCAAACAAAGTACAATGCGTAGATTACAGATGGGGCAAGAGTAGTGCATGCGCAAGTTCCAACCACTCGGACGGCCCCAAACCACATGTCATTAGGAACTATCAAGGATATTCAATTCAATTAGCATGCCGCGTGACGCGTGACCCTTGACCCTTGACTCTTCCACCAGCGCAAAACGTCTGGACTCAGTGGCTTGGAATTGCAGCTGGCATACCAATCTCTCAAAACACTCCAGAGTACCATTGTATTTAGCCGAGTATTGATGACGACAGGGAGCCAGACTTTGCAGGAGTGCTGACAGATCTACTTGAAATGATGAGGGCGCGTCTTGATGGTCCTCAGGTATGTAAATGACCTCTATGTAGTTATAGGCCTCACCGTTGTTCAGGATCTCTCGTTCTCCGATTTGACCAATGACCACTTATCGAAATTAAACATATCCCCGGCTGGGTCCCTCGAACTGAAGCCAAAGAGCGTGCTCGCGGAACTAGCAAAGAAGACCCAAGTTGTTGGGAAAGATGACATCTGGTCTTCGGAAAACTTATATCGTCATCTGCAACGCCTGGAGACGCTCGTCCCCAAGTCGGTGAGTAACGCCAACTACCACTGAAATGCTGCGCTCATGTTGGAGATATCAGAATGAAGCAGCTGCTCGCGCTTGGATAGACGCGTTTTTTTTTCGTGTGTCTGCAATGGTGCCTCCAGATGAAATGATGGTCCTGAGCGTGGAGCAACAAATCCCCCCTACAGCGGTCAAACCTTCCAGCTCCACCACACTTCATGGTTTTATCGATTACATCGCTGCAACAGCAGTTAAATCTGTTGCAGGTAATATTTTCGCCTGTCTTGCCTGGTTGTCCTTTGCCTGGCTAACCTCCTTGTAGACAAATTTTTGTCTGACCCAACGATTGAAAGACTCAAGTCGATGTCAGGTCTCGTGGTGACTAAAGCTAAATCTTCGTCTGGGGCTCCGACTCACCTCCGAGACCATATACCTCAAGCGATTGGCGAAATGTATGCCTGCGCGAAAGCCCTTGGGTTAGTGTTAGTTCCTGCTGTCTATGCAACTTAAATCTCTAAATAATTATCGTGCCTGTGTAGGAAATCTGTTGTCCGCGGGGCGCTGACGGTTGGAGACAGGTGGATTTTTCTCATCATTGTCATGAATGCCAATGGTGATGGAGCTAAGTATTGGAAATCTCGTGGCATCGGCGTCCTTACCACGACGCCTCCCGAGGACACAGCGATCACATCGCCATGGCCCGACGTCATTGCTGGTATTTTGGCACATTGGGTAGGTTTTTCCCCCTATCTTCAAAACGGGTCCACTGACTTGTGATCGTGGTATTAGATGAAGCATAGTTTTGAGGGCATCAAAGATGGCGACGATTGGTTTGAGGTTGAATTGTAGTCTGTACAGCGTTAATCCACTACCTAGTGGAAAAAGCTAAGACACCCCAGCAAGGCATCGGAACCCTGGTGGAACAATGACCTTACTAAGTCATGAACTAAGACAAACCAGAGAATCTCTCAAAGGGTGGATCAAGGACTTCAACCGTCCATCCATTTACGTCAATCCTTACATAAGGACATTCGCTCACAAATAAGAAAAGCAAAGCAGGAATACTACCGGAAACTCACAGAGGAAGCCAACCAGGGTAAGATGTGGGATTTCCGTAAGTGGTCAAAGTGCATCTTAGTGCGATAGGGGCCGTCCCTGTGGGAGGTGCATTACTCGGTGCATGGTGAGAGGATCGTCTTTCAACTTCACTCCAAGAATCCTGAACATTCTCCATAGACGGGTTTCTGCGTCTATGAGGTTGGAAATTCAGCTAGGTGATCCCTCTCCTATTGGAGCAAGAATTTGTGCTCATATATTACAGGGAAAGGGGTTCGGATGAAGTTACCCATCTTTGGGATCGTGTGGCTGAGCTCGAAGCCGTGATCCGGGGACTAAAGGACAAGCCTCAGCCTCAAAGAACCCCTGTAATGCCTCCAGGGATGTTGGCAATCGCGAGATGAGCCTGTTGGCTCCAGACTCGTACCCAGTCGTTTTCGCTCCGTGGACGCGCGCGCACTGCAATGTATGCACGGAGCAAAATGCCATAGGTAAAATACAGCAATTTAGTAAATAACTTGGGCTGCACAATGTTATTTACTTCCCACTGTGAGCTGTGGGAGCTTTTGAGAGCTTGGGAGTATGCAACCAACCCCCAGAGCACTCCTGAGTGCTCTAGAGCCATACCGGTTTTCGTGACGCAAGCCCGTGGCGTAAAATACAAAATACGACGGTTGTAAAGTGACCGTTTACCACCGTTAAACTAGTCAAAGATGACCAAGAAACAGGTAATTTACTCTCATAATCACTGTAATGGAACCTTGGTAAAATACCGCATACTTGATTGTAGAACACTATGTAAACATGAGTGTATTTTACCATCTTTAAAATGGTCCTTTACACAACTCTGATTCCCACTGTGTATGAAGGTTGCGCACGACCTCCCGATCAGCATGCTCCATCGCATCGGCAGGAGACATAAATACAAGAGATGGATACACATGTTCAGAATTACGCGTGCAACGAACAGCTCAAGGTGGAACCCGCCCAGAGCGTGAAACGATACAAGCAACTGCTCAGGGAAAACGCCTCCCCTCCCAAAAAACCAAGTGCTCATGGTCAACCAGTTTAACCAAAGATGACATTGAATGGGATGTCCCCTCGTTGATACACCGTTGCCGTATAGCATCGTAAACCGCTAGTCCAGCAGCGGCATCGTTCGCAGCATCTAAGTCCAACCAGTCAGTAACAAAAAGATCACCGCAAAATCGCTAACATTTGATCATGTTCTCCGTAAGAGGACACTCCCAATTGCTCAATACCACCTTTTTCGACTTTTTCAGAGGTAGCCCTATATAGTGTTCAGTCAGCCTCGCAAGGGATATAAGACTTTTGGGATGGTCTCCAGTAAAGGAAGAATTGAACGTTCTGGCAAGAAAAGTGAGCTCAACGGCTCCATGAAACTCAATCCCAAAGTCACGTCGCACTTTCGCGGCATCCTCTGACAAATGAGGGTATTTGAGCTCTACAGATCCATGATTCGAGAAAGGCCCAGACCTTCGATCCCTACGCCCAACTTTAGGATACGTGGGGATTCTATTAATACACGCAGTGATGGTGGAACTGGAGTTGACGAATAATTGGTTAGGATACTTTCGCCACGTCGCATATATAGTGGGTAGATTTACTCTTCTTGCTCATCTGCGCCGTGTGAATAAGAAGAACTTGTGAATTATCCGCCAATTGCACCAACGCGATAGGGTTCCTTTGACCGCCTTTGACAAAATTAGGCCTGAATTCTACATCAAATCCGATTGGGCTGGCACAAAGATCAAATCTGTCGCCGCCACTGGTCAGGCAATGGCACGTACCCGCGTAGTTGCGGAATGAAGTGGTCCGCTTCCGAGACTGTGGTTATCAGCCGCAAAGGTCGTTTTATTGGTGCTGATAGCGTAGGCTCCGAAAAGGAGTAATAGGGCATTGACACAGAGCCTTGAGTGTTTGGATTTCCGCTCGGCATTTGCTTCGGCCTCTGATGAGGCTTGGTATTTTCCGCTGTGAAAGTGGAGGCTTTCTTTTCCCTGGGCATAATTCGAACGTACTGTAACCCTTTGGATCCAGGTAAAGTGAAAGTCAGAAAATGCGAAGACCCCAAGAGCAAGGCGGTCCGAACACAGACGTGCTCACTGGTTACAAATACTCGCTCTCACGTGCAATGACCTCGGCTCTTCAATTGAGTGGTGTTAGTGGCGATTTCTCCAGCATCAACGGGTTGATGAGTTCTACATACTGCAGAGACCTAGGTAATTACTAGTTGTCGTTGCTTGTTTACAGTATAAGTTAAAGGATTGCAATCGGTCTGAACAACAAGGTGACCAGCCTCTCTTTCGCGGCAACACCAGTCCAATCGGGGAAATAGCAGCGGTACCGGTCGTGTGAAGGTTTGAGGGCTCTCTGGCAACATAGATCCATAGCCAAGCTCTCCATTACGGCTCACTCCCCTCTCATGGAGATGTGGTCATGCTAGCAAATCCACGAACCAACGCACTTACACCAAACAGATGAACGTTGAAGATAAAATCCATTTTGGCACAGTTTGGGTGTGATCGTGAGACCTGCTATCGAGCCCAATCATCGCTCTGCCGCAGCATGCTTGATGTATATACAGTACATAGTGTATTACATGCTTCAACCCTTCAAGTGTTACACGGGGATGTCATGTCAGTCAATATCAACACTAGGTGGAAAAGATAAAATTCCCATGGATTGAGCGGGTGAAAGTGGCCTTGCAAGTACTGTTCATTCAGCGTGAACCGCGCATTGTCGCCCACATATCCTCCAGATCAATTTCAAGTGCAAATTGAGACACCGCTGTCATCAAGGCTTAGTGAGCATTTTTTCCTAAACACTTTCCGGTCCCTATCCTTTGGGATGGCAAATACAATTAAGCTTCCATTGCCACACCCTCTTGTATTCGTTCTTCAGCAGGTCCCAAAGCTCTTTATATTTAATGAATTTCATCATGACTGAGTGCCGTGTAGAGATCGTACGTATGCTGAAACATGACAACACCGGTGATGGTGTGGTTTTTATCTCTTTCTCTTTCGAAAGCAAACGAGTGGTAGTACTTAACTGCATCCGGACGATGGACATCAAATGGAAAGTGGGAGTTTGCCGTGGGAAGACAGAGGCCGGACAGTGCCGGAGCACAGCCATACTACATTTTGCCCCAGTCGGAGGAGCGAAGTGTCGCGTCCAAATTTCCGGAGTAGGTGATCGGCTGTGTTTACAGCCGATTCCAAAAAAAATTGCCGTTTGGATCTCATCAAGAGAGATCGAGGGAACCCCTTCTTTGCCGAATCTGGCAGCATTTTGAGCTTTTTTAAGGAAGTCGGCGGACCCAATGGTACCGGAAAATAGAATAAAATAAAACAAATAAATGTGGCACTCCCAGTTGAGCCGCCTTCACATAGACCCGCAGATAATACAGATAGATCGCCCCGAGCACAGACGCGAACCGAACACATGGATTAAACATACATCAATCTGTGTCTTCATTGCCGTACATGACAGCCGGAGAATCGGGGGACGCAGGGGACATTAGCGACAGGAGCGAGGCAAATTCGGTGTCTGAACCGTCATGGATTGAGAGGAAATGCGTGTCAGCGAATGACAGAATCGGAGACCTTGTACTCCTCTCATGTGATAAGTACTCACAGTGAATACCAGCCAGCGAGCCAAATCGAAGCTGCCCAACATGTAAAGCAATTCAGAGGTTCGAATTAGCTCGGTTGTGATATCTGGTTGACAGTTCTTCAGTGGGAGCGTCGGAAGGCAGGAATAGGGTATAGACCAACAGGCAGATGTGGATATGAGGCTTACCACTTTCCTCATGTTCTATGAACGATACAAATCCGTTCCCGTTGACGTTCTAAACCAACATCAGCAGTTGTTTGTCAACAACTTTTATATGAACCGTCTTTACTCACTTCTAATTCACATGAACATGGACTCGTGTCCTCAGCCTCAGTCCGTGCTCGCCACAATATAACCTGCATTCACACCATGCCGCCAAAATATGCCCTGCCATTGCCCCATGTGTCCTACATGCTGTGTCAGATGTTGGTCAGATGTGTTCCATGAGTTGGTGTGAATATTTGCGCTGGTGCGGGTTGTCAGTGGGGGAAGCAGTGGCCTATGTCATGTGAACAGAGACCCCGGCGCTAAGCGGATTTAACCAAATAAGGAAAGACTTTCGTGAGGCATGACTCTGGCCAACCTTTTTAGGAAGAGAGATTCCCCTTTCGATGAGATCCAAACGGCAATTTTTTTTGGAATCAGCTGTAACTCCGTACCATGTGATCTTTTGTATTGAGTACAGAACGTGAGAACATTACGTAAAGAGCTATTACTTATTTTGCGCGTCCACGGAGTTCCTCCGACTGGGTACGAGTCTGTAGCGGGGCCTGATATTACCCAAATGACACTTGTACTGTCAATTGTCGCGTTGCGGTCCGCTAATGGCATATAGCGGGCCGGTCATGACGCGTTCGAGTATATGTAAGGAGTCATCGATATCGATAGCCACCTTGTTGCCCTCGGAAAGGAACACCATTTGCCCGTCCGATGTCCAGCTTGATTGATCTGACTGTACTGCAGGAACGTCCAGCTGCGGGGAGGCTTCTGTGTTCTGTAGATTCGAAGTCCTCTGGAGGTTTTCACGAGGCTCTCAAATTAATGGTCAATCGTCAAAGTACACGAGGACAAACGACACCCAAAGCATTATGGCGTTTAGGTATATACATACCAACGAAGCCACCCAGTCCCGACAACTTCGGGGGCTCCAGACTGACATCTAAAGCAGCAGCGTCGCCAACAGTTACTACACTCAGGGGAGACTCTCATTAGGAGGATGCGAGTGGGGGGCCACTTAATCTAGAGCTGCTGGGAAGGAATGTTCGATGGGGTAGATGCAAAAAGAGCGGTACCGTCGGGCCCCTTTATCGATAAGCACCTCTGGCATGAAGAAGCTACTGGATGCAACATGGAAAATCTCATGTTCAGCTGGAAATAGTCGACGAGATGGTCTGACAGAGATTCTTCCTTAGGTAACAAGTCAAGCTACCACCGCCGAGATGCCCTCAAAATCGAGGCACAGAACGCATTGATCGATACATGCAGTGGTCTATGTGAGGGGTGATTGATGCGATCACAATGATAAAGCATGTATCCTGAGGTCAGGTCATCAGACGAAATCCTCCAGCCTTTTCGCCTTCGTAGCGAGGCGCTCCTCCGACCGTCTCCAAATGAGGAATTTGAAACCGTTTGCTGAAGCAAAAGTGGAAAATGCGAGAAGGACAATTATGAAGATAGATCCCAAGAGCTGATAGACGTGTCAAATGCACATCGATACTGGGACTGTAAAAACTTCGTACCGCATACGTAACATATGCTGAGGCCTTTGGTGAAAAAGTGACCACTGGTGGGGCGCTAGGGTTAGGGCTCAAAAGTTGAACGGATACCAATAAGAAAATGATGGCTACGGCCATAGACGCTCCAGCTCCATAAACACCAATGGCCACGATAATTTCCCAGAGATGTGGATTTGGAAACGGGTAGTTCGCCCGGTGACTACACCAAGTGAGCACGACTTGGACGGCAGTAGCGAACATGAGACAGATCATGAACAGTACAAAGGAGCAGCACATGTAGGATATATTTCCTCGAGTGGCGCTGGAGGGTGTGAAGACTCGCGGTACCAGGACAAGCCATTCTAACTCTTACCTGACAATGGAAGTATAGCTTAGACCAGCACCTAGAACAGATACAGCGGACAATGCCCTGATACTCTCATTATGAGCATCGAGAGCATCCTTTCCATCATTGTTAAGCGATGCTTGAAGCAATTTAGCAACGGTATCACCTTCGCCCAATCAGAGATTCCTAGGACGTGCTCTATTAGTCAAGTGAGACGTGATTGGGTAATTGACTTCACCTTTATATCCAGTCATCTGTTTATTGGTTTGCGTTCGAGCGATATCTCGAATTTCTGAAATTTCATCTTTCGAAGCTCTGATCTGGAATTAATGTCAGATTCGCACAATCCTGACACCTTCTGCACAAAACTAACCTCCTCTTTCAGGACCTTGCAATCAGCAACGATGCGCTGCCAGGTGCTCGTAGCTTCCCGCCTCCAGTCATCAATTTTTCCCTTCTTGGGAGGTCGATGGTCAACGGCAGAGTTCATGCGGATTTCGCCAGCACAAACCAGTTCGGTGTCTGCGGGGTTTTCCAATTTTCGCAGCTGTTCCAAAGCTTTTCTTTCTTCCTCCTTCAATATTTTATGCTAGTCGATAAAGGGAACGGTAATGGTGATTCACTGAGGGACACAGTCAACTGAGGGCATGCAGACAACTCACCAGTGCTTCCAAAGTCTGTAGACGCGTTTCTCGCTCCTCAGTCATTTCATTTCCCTTCTTAATATTGGAGGACTTCATTGGTCTCTCTTGGTCAGTGAAATGGTAACGCATGCGGAACGCGACCGCCTTACGTGTGAATGTTGAAAAGATGGTGTATGACTGTGGAGATAAAGTACGGCACTCAGTCCCCCGCGGGTTGTCAGCCAGGCATGTGGAACAAAAACTATCCACAGACTGGCTGTAAGCGACCATTCTAGTAGAGGGAAAAGGGTCCTATCGTCCCGAGAATCTCTCTGTTCCGTGGTGGGCTGTGCTTTAGTACGCGCTGGGAAAGGGAATTATACATACATGTCGCATTCTGGAAACGATCCAGCGAAGTAGAGCGAATATGGCGAGAGGGATAGCCATGGGCAAAAGAATCAACCATTGTAATGCTTGCACTACTCTAAGTGAGAAATCGCGATCCTTCTTCTTAGACTTATTTTCGTAAAACTCTTTCGCATGAGTTAGGACGTCCATGCCGTGGAAATTGACGCAAATATGCATCTCTTGTCGATACGGGTCTTTGGGGTCAGGCTGTTTTGGCAGTGCTCGACATTCCGCGCTTTCACACTTCCGCTGAAGATACCCAAAGAAAGTTTGTGACCCTTCTTCTACTGGCTGCCTCGGGTGAGCGCCTGGGCTGGTGCTGGAGGACCCCGGAGCTAGGCTTGCATTGTTCAGTGCGACGGAGGGCGAGCTCATACCAACGGGGGGTGTCAGCGACAAGGGGGGGAATCGATGTCACCGATCCTCAGGACTTTATAGCATTGACAATGCATTATCTCAATTTGGGAGAGCTGCCAGGCGGGCGCGTATCAATCCTAGTCGTCAAGGTAAGCATACACGAAGACCTGAAAAGGGACGGTGCTGGAGCACGTAGAAGAAACCAAAGACATGATCATAGTCCGTTTGAAAAGTGTGCAAACACAAGAGAAATCCGGCAATTGAAACACGAGGCCGCGCAACGTCGGTGGCGATGAGCTTGATCAGCAATTGAATTCCGGTTGAATAGCGCTCAAGATTGGGCAGGTTATGTAACAGCTCTCAAGATGGGCGCTAAAGAGGCTCGTCATCATGGTGTGGGTGTGTGTATCATATTATCTGTGCTGTTGGCATATGATGGAGCGTACAATGGGTTACCCTGTACACAATCATTACATGGCCACGCTGATGTCCCATCTTGCCAGCTCTCTGACCCACCATATATCCGCCGGTGTCCCATCCATTCGCCCTTTATCATCTCTTCCTGCAGTCACCGGTATCCACAACACCGCTCCATCCCTCGAGTCACAATGACCTAAGTTGGAGGAATGAAGAGGGTTAATCGGGTAGCCCACCAGGGATGGTGCCATTGTAGATTGCCTCCCTGTGAGCGACGGTCGCAATGGTGCGTACCCTGGCATTATGTAAGGCAAGGCACCAATGTAACCCGATATTACTTATGTAAGGGTTCCAGACATGCACACCCTGACTGACATTAATATTATCGACGGCGGGTTGTCGCCGTCGCTAACGCAGTACAGTTGCCGCGGACAAACTACGTAACTCATGGTTCTACATAATAACGGTCTGCAGGGCCTACAGCACGAAAGATTCTGCCCAATTTCTGACCACGCCTCTCCCCTTCTTATGCACCTCAAACCGCTTCACATCCCTTGAAATGATAACCGCATGGCTATTTACGACCCCATCAATATAGGCCAATTTCTTCTTGAGCTGTGGGATACTGTTCAAATTCATCGCCATTTGCAACTGTAACGGCGTCAATCGCGGGCTGATTGCCTCAATCTGAAAGTTCGTCTCTTGGGCTTCATCTGGATTCTCTAAATGGAACCCTCTTGCTCCGGCGTTGCCGTTGGCCATAGGGGCTGGCCGTCTAAGCCCCGCATAAGCGTCATTATCTTGCTTTGATACGCCACCTGCGTCCTCTACACGGCCGAGGGATGAGGAGAGGTAATCGGATCTGGATGTGTTTGCTTCAAGAAGACGAATGCGTTCTCGAGATGCTCGAGAGTCAAGGGACAGACGAGCTATGAGGACTATGAAGAAAAGAGGAAGGAGGATTGGCAGAAGGGCGATAATGAGCTTGGATGCGTAAGTTCTTTGAGTCCAGCGCAGTAACAAAGTAGTCTGCAAAGACTTACAATATTAAACGGCCAACGTGCCTGCAGGACGGATGGGACGAATATCTTCCTGCGAAGGGACTCGATATAAGCCAGAGATAGGAGGCGTGTCTGGGGTGGTGGAGGTGGAGGCACGTCTGGAAGTCTGTAAGACTCTATAATTGGGGAATACCTCTCGTCTAGTTTCCTGGACGCGAGAATGGCTTTACTCCTTGTAATGTGATGAGTATAAGGAGGCGACGCACACTTCGATTCCATTAACACTATGGGCGAGGAATGGATCCTCGGTTTCTATTGCCGCTGTGAGATAGGGCACAACAGTATCATTTATGCTGTGTAGATATATCGATGTGCATGCAGT